GGGGGAGGGCCGAGGGGAGGGGTGTGGGATGCTGCTCTGGCTCCAGGACTAAGGCAGCATGTTTACTGCCTGACCAGGATGCCCCCTTTTTCAGCCAGTGGTAACCGTGACCCTGGGAGATGGATGGGCTGGAGAACCCTTCCTAAGACACCCCGTGTTCTGTCCCCGAACTTGGTGCCGACAGTCCCAGATCGGCGGAGTTTCAGGACAGGTGTAGGCCATGGGTCACTCAGCGACAGCTGTGTTAAATAGGGGACACGTATGCAGATGGCACACACTTAGAGAGCAGCTGTTTTCCTCTCTCCTTCATGTCTGTCTCCGTCTGCATGACCCATATCCCTGAACCCCCCCTTCTACTTGAAGATGAGCTTTAAAATTAGGTGATGTCATTGCAGGCCAGTCAGAAGCCACTGCTGCTGACATGTGACAAGCAGAGGCTCCTGGAGGGGGACCGCACATGGGGCTGGGATACTGCCGCAGAGCAGTTCCAGGGCACTGTGACCCTCGGTATTGCCACCTACCCACCTCCCAGTAGGAGAGGACGGTACCACTGCCGCTAGGTCTGCAGGGGTTCCCAGGGGAAGGAGCTTTTGTCTCCAGTTGCTCTTCCTCTGGGATTCCCAAGACCATACAGGCCTCAGGCATTAATTAATGAATGGGAGGGGAGAGGAACGGCGTGCCCCAGTGGAAGACCTTGAGGGTCGTTGGTGAGGAAAGAAGGCATCTTGTTTTGTGAATGTGATGCCTGCAAAGCCCAGCCATCAGGCTTGTGGTGAGAGGTGGACCAGAGGGAGGAATTTGGTGACACCTCAGGTGTGGCGCTAACTCCTTAAAACTGTACTGTGCAAAGAACCAAGGGCCCTCCGTGTAAACCCCACAGCGTGGGGCGGGCCTGGCCAGTTGCTGGGCCAGGCCTCCGTTTGCTCCCCCTGACTGCAGTGTTGTTCCGTTGCAGAAGAAGAAAGGAGGGCACGGGCCAATGACCGAGAATACAATGAGAAATTCCAGTACGCGGTGAGTGGCTCTGGACCACCGTTCAGACCCTCCTGAGCTGGAAAGGGGAAAGGTGCAGGACGCAGGAGCATCCTTGGTCGGGGGACTGGAGAGTGCTGGGGGAGGGGAAGGCAGCCTCCTCACCACTCCATCTGCTACTGTGCTGAATTTTTCATGCCTTCACCTGTCAGTGAAGAGGTTACCGTGACCCCAGGAGGCTCCCTTCTCTTTTGTTCTTTTCCCTCCCACACCTGTGGGTGCCGGCTTTTGGGGACCAAGGTCTAGGGCAGGGTAGATGAAGAGGCACCCTCAGTCTGCTTCTGGGTTGGGGTTGGAGGCTGCCTCATTGTCTTCTCTCCCACCACCATAGAGTAACTGCATCAAGACCTCCAAGTACAATATTCTCACCTTCCTGCCTGTCAACCTCTTTGAGCAGTTCCAGGAAGTCGCCAATACCTACTTCCTGTTCCTTCTTATTCTGCAGGTAAGTAACCCGTGGGAGACCGTTGGCCACTCCCAAGGCCAAATACAGTCCAGGATGAGAAAGGTCGAGGGGAGAAGAAGGCACAGGAGGGGCCTCAGAGGCATGCCTCCTCTTTCCTCTTCCCAGTTGATCCCACAGATCTCGTCCCTGTCCTGGTTCACCACCATTGTGCCTTTGGTTCTTGTCCTCACCATCACAGCTGTTAAAGATGCCACTGATGACTATGTGAGTTGTATCCATTGCCATCCCTTCCCTGGTCCAGCTAGATTCATGATATTGTGGCTGAGAGTAGGGAGGGGGAGGCAGAGAAAGAGAGTAGATTCTGTGAACAGGTATAGATAGCTGGTACCCAGCATGCTCTGCATGCCACCGATGCATCTGCATCCCTGGGAGCAGGAGCAGGTGTCTTACCATTCTTAGTTTCCTCCTTTTCAGTTCCGCCACAAGAGTGATAACCAGGTGAATAACCGTCAGTCTCAGGTGCTGATCAATGGAATGTGAGTGCCAGTTGGAGACGGAAGGCCTTGGGAGGACAGGGGTTTCCTGGGAAATTCTCTGGCTACTGACAGCCTCCTCTCTGTCTTCCCATTGCCTCAGCCTCCAGCAGGAGCAGTGGATGAATGTCTGTGTTGGTGACATCATCAAGCTAGAAAATAACCAGTTTGTGGCGGTAAGGGTGCCCCTCTAGGCCTACAGGGTGCTTCCTTGGCAGAAAGGATTAGCCTCTCCTGGTTCATGCTGCCTCTTAAACACTCTGGGAGGAGCCTTTCTTGAATGAGAAGCTCCTGTGTCATATTAGTGTGGTTGGGGCTGGCTGCTTTCTGGCCATTCACATGCTTGGGACTAAGCAAGCTAAGAATGCGTGGTGGAAGGAGGGATCCCCACAGAGTCCATGGGGGGTGGAGGATCGGGTCTCTGGGTTCTCACTAGGTCTTCTCTCCAGGCGGACCTCCTCCTCCTTTCCAGCAGTGAGCCTCATGGGTTGTGCTACATAGAGACAGCAGAACTTGATGGGTGAGTGGCATGCTTAGTGTCACCCCTCTCCTGCCTCCGAAGGGGTACCAAGCTTGTTTTGGAAAGAGGTGCCCAGGTCTGAGGGATGTGCACCTTTAAGAATAATTGGGTAAGCAGGACTGTGGGTGTCCTTCCAGAGAGACCAACATGAAAGTGCGCCAGGCGATCCCAGTCACCTGGGAGCTGGGAGACATCAGTAAGCTGGCCAAGTTTGATGGTGAGTAATTTTGGAGAAGTACCTTTCAGGAAGAGGGGGTGGTCGGGTTTTGGGGTTTAAATTGTACTTCCTCCTTTGGGCTTCTTGTTGCTGTGATTATGGAGCTCCCTGGACTCTTGTGGGGGTCGGTGGTGTGGAGGTGTCAGGAATGCCAGGTGGCTACCACTTACTTATGTTTATTTTTTAAATGAGTATATATATATATATATATATGTGTGTGTGTGTGTATATATATATGTTTAAAAATATTTGTATTGATTTCAGAGAGGAAGGGAGAGGAAGAGAGAGAAATATCAATGATGAGATAGAATATTAATCGGCTGCCTCCTGAATGCATCCTATTGGGGATCGAGCCTGCAACCCGGCCATGTGCCCTGACGGGGCTCAAACCATGACCTCCTGCTTCATAGGTTGATGCTCAACCACTGAGCCACTCCCGTCGGGCACTACCACTTATTTTTTAATTAATGGTCATTTCAAGAGATCTTCATGGGTGATAGCTCCCTCCTGGCTGTGCATATTGATAGAATTTCAGTTTATTCTTATTTCTTATTCTTATTCCATTCAGAACAGTGTGCTATACGCTCCTTTAACAAGACAAACTGAGCAGCATGCACGGGAAAAAGCTCTCCTGTCCTCTAGTTCTACCTTCCTAAATAGTCAGGCTAACAGGCACTTGAATGTGTTTTCATTCATACTTTTTTCCCGTTTATACAAACATAAATCGGTGGGATCATACTGTCCCCAAATCCCTGCAACCTGCCCGTACCTATTAATTTCATCATCATTATCTTATCACATCACTATAGAAAGAAATTTACTTCATTTTTCAATAGCTGCATGTTGTTTCATAGAATTGATGTATCATAATTTACTCAACTATTCACTGACCCTTCGGTTGTGTTTAGTCTTTCTGTTCAAATAATGCTTCAATACAAATTGTGACCCGTGCTATTATTTCTGTAGAACAGAGTCCCCAAGTGGGATTACTGGGCCCAAGGGTGTGTGTACTCTTAATATTAGTTCACGTGGCCCCATTCCTTTCCCATCAGCTCACAGTGACAAGCAGTGTCTGGATGGGCCCATGTCCTAACACCCTCTCCCTCCGCTGCTTCCTCTGTTTTGTTGTCTCGTGGTCGAGCTACAGACTGTACCTTGAGCGGTGGCGCTCCTGTCTTCCATTCAGGTGAGGTGATCTGCGAACCTCCCAACAACAAGCTGGACAAATTCAGTGGAACGCTCTACTGGAAGGAGAGCAAGTTCCCCCTGAGCAACCAGAACATGCTGCTGCGGGGCTGCGTGCTGCGAAACACCGAGTGGTGCTTCGGGCTGGTCATCTTCGCAGGTGAGCCTCCGAGGGCGCAAAGGAAGCAGGGCGAGAGCTGGTTCCGCCGCCTCCCTCGGGGGCGTGGCAGGAAGCTGAGGGGGCTGGTTCCATGATAAGGTAGGCACCCTGCAGCCCTGAAGACAGGCCCCCTGCCATCCAGCCTGTGTCTGTCTTCCACGCGGACGTCCTGTAGTCTGGGGACTGGGCAGGAGCCCAGAGGCAGGTTCCTTATTTGGCTTTCCTAGCCCTTCCTCTTCCTCTGCAGGTCCTGATACTAAGCTGATGCAGAACAGCGGCAGGACGAAATTCAAGAGAACAAGCATTGATCGCCTAATGAATACTCTGGTGCTTTGGGTAAGCTGCCCACTTACTGTTCCCTGCCGTGCCCTCCTGGTTCTCCCTTTGCTCCCATCTCTCCTCCCTGGTCAGTAGCCAAGCTTCAGGTTTTGGCTTTAAAGCCACTGGCAGGTCAGCCACTCAAAGGCAATGTTTATTTCAGGTTCCTTTTAGACTTGGCAGATATTATTTTAAAAAACGTGTATGAATCAACAACTTAAAGCTGAAACAAGTCTTCCTTTCTCTGGATTCCAGTTATGATGATGACTTAGTGTAGCATGTGACCTTCTGTTTGCTTTTGCCTGGGACAAGGAGGCCTTCATGGGGATGGAGAAGGAATGAAAAGAAAAATTTCCATTTGGAGGATGGAGAACGGGGTCTAACGGGGTCTCTTCCCCTGCCTTCCCAGAGTGAAGGATCCCGAAGGAAAAGTTTCTATTTCAGTTCTTGGCAATTCCCGAATCCTTCTCTTGTTGGCTGGAAATTTGAGCTCCTTGTCAGGTTCTTCCCAGCCTCCGGTGAGACAGCCTCCCCCTGAGAGAGTGGGTTAAGGCTATCATGCAGAGGCTTGCATCGCCCCCTGGTGGCTCTTGTGTACCAGGATGGTTCCTGTTTTGTTCAAAGCATCAGGAGTGAAGGCAGCCCTGGCCGGTGGGGTAAAATGGTTAGAGCTTTGGCCCAAGCACCAAGGGTTGCAGGTTTGATTCCCAGTCAAGGGCATGTACTTGGGTTTCAGGTTCAACATCCAGCCCCGGTCAGTTGGGCACGTGTGGGAGGCAACCAATCAATGTGTCTCTCTCACATTGATGTTTCTCTCTCCCTCTCTATACCCTCCCTCCCACTCTCTCTCTCTAACAATCTATGGGAAAAATATCCTCGGTTGAGAATGAACAACCACCAAAAAAAAAAGTGAAGACAGCTTGGCAAATAGATGTCTGAAATCAGACAATGGTCTCAATTTTTTTTCTTTTAACTTCCAAAATTCTCTTAGGATTTAGGATTCTTCTTCAAGGACTACAAGTTTTATAAGATTTTTGGCTATCGAGAAATCTACATTTCTGAAAATGCAATTTGTTTCCTGGTTTTAAAAAATGGGGGATGCCCGGCTGGCATGGCTCAGTGGTTGAGCGTCGTCCTATGAATCAGGAGGTCACAGTTCCATTCCCAGTCAGGGCACGTGCCCGGGTTGCGGGCTTGGATCCTCAGTGTGGGGTGTGCAGGAGGCAGCCGATCAATGATTCTCTCTCATCATTGATGTTTCTCTCTCTCTCTGCCTCTCCCTTCCTCTCTGAAATGAATAAAAACATATTTTAAAAATGCGGGGCAGGGGGTCAATCTGTATGAGATAATGAGCATGACAGAAATTTGGCATCGTTGTTGGCTTATGGAGGCTTAGCTCAAGTCAATGGGTGATTTCCAGTAAGTTTCCTCTGAAGTTTTGAAAGCAGCTTTCCCCCACTCTCATCACCTTTTTCTTCTTTTTTAAAAATAAAAGCCTGTTGAAAATTTCTATAAGAGTTTATTTGAGCAACATTGTGGACATATCAGGAAGTAAGACCTCAAATGCTTCCCACTTTTATCATCTTTGAGGCCTCCTAAGGGTTCTGGGTGTCAGATGGGGAGCTGCACAGCTATTTCAGTTCCCCATCAGGCCGATGGGAAAATGTTCACAGAGGAGGCCATGTGATGTGGGTGGCAGACTAGAACCTGTCGCCACTTCTGGGTGCTTCCCACTGGCATGTGCCACCGTTTTAAAGATGCCTGGCCCTGGCTGGTTTAGCTCAGTGAATAGAGCATTGGCCTGCGACTGAAGGGTCCCGGGTTCAATTCCGGTCAAGGGCACGTACCTCGGTTGCAGGCTCTTCCCCGGCCCAGGCCCTGGTTGGAGTGCGTGCGGGAGGCAACCAATCGATTGTGTTTCTCTCACATCGATGTTTCTCTCTGTCTTTCCCTCTCTCTTCCACTCTCCCTAAAAATCAGTGGAAAGCTGTCCTCCGGTGAGGATTAACAAAAAAACAGATGCCTGCGCTTTTGCAGGATCAGGCCTGAGCGACGGCCTTCTGGGACACACTTGATTTTGAGGGCTTCCTCGGCGGCAGCCTCACCTCTGCTTCTCATTCCTCCCCAGATTTTTGGATTCCTGGTCTGCATGGGGGTGATCCTGGCCATTGGCAATGCCATTTGGGAGCACGAGGTCGGGATGCGCTTCCAGGTCTACCTGCCCTGGGACGAGGCGGTAGACAGTGCCTTTTTCTCTGGCTTCCTCTCCTTCTGGTCCTACATCATCATCCTCAACACCGTCGTGCCCATATCGCTCTATGTCAGGTATGTTGCTTTCTATGCCTGGGGCCTCTCCAGGGAGCTGGGGTTGTCCCTTGGCCAACTGCTCTTGTCCGTGAAGGTGAAATCCTCGAGCAGGAACGTGGCGTCCTCTTCCTGTGCTGTGAACATGTTATGTTCTTTGTTTATCTTTGTGTGCAGAGCTAACCTCACCACCATTCCCTGGCACTTCAGACTGTATGGGATGGAAACTGTGTTGCTTATTTGTCACATGTTTGTTGCATGCTGACTTTGTGCAAAGAAGCATGTTAGGTGCGTGGCACATACAAAGGAGAGGTAGGAATGGATCTCCTTTGCTCCAGGCGCTTCAGTCTAGGCAAGGAAGAAAGATGTGAACACGTTATAAAACAAAATGGGAACAAGTGTTTTAGGAGTCCTGCCTACAGGCTTATGTGTACAGCCAGGGGACGCAGAGACGTGGAACATGGCCTCTGCCTTCAACAGCAGCAGACTGTCAGGGGAGGGGAGAGACGAGCCTTGTAAGACACTGAGATACCGTGTGGGAGGCACAGCTGCGCGGGGCATGCGTCGTTCCCTGCACAGCTAATCAGGGAGGACATCTCTGAAGAGGTGGCGGTTGAACTGGGCTTCGAGTGGTGGCCAGGATGGGTGAAAGGATAGCCTGCGGGAGAGGCTAGAAACACGGGCTTGGAGGTGGGAGCCTAGGAATGGGCACGGGACACTTTGGCTGTGGGGCAGACAGCTGGAAACATGAGTTTGTTACCAATTGTGGAGGGTCTTGAATTTTTGCCTCTGACCTTTGTACTTAGTAAACCATTAAAGGATTCCTAAAAAAAAAAAAAATCTAAATATTTTAGGAAGTGTTGGCAGACAGTGGTGTGCATTAATAGGATCAGGGAGACATCTCGGATGCTTGAGGGAGCTGTTAACAAGGGCTGGCCCAGTGAGAATGAACAGGAAGAGGAGGAAGGAAGAGTGGCCAAGAGAGAAATTTTGTACTTAGTGCCTTGCACTTGAGTTAAGTGAACCTGCAACTTTTTAAGGAAATGCTTCATGGAGTCTGAGAAATATGCCATTGCTTTGTTCATACAGATTCCCAGATAGTCCTCCCATCTCCCCACCAGCCCCCGAATCCTAGTGCCCGTGGCAGTGATAGGAGATAGAGTTCCTGTGCTGAGGGCTTCCCTAGAACGTTAAGAGGAGACTCAGGTTTGTGGTTTGGTCCTGCTGTCTCCTTAGTTACGTGACACGGGTAAATCCTCAATCACTCGAGGCCTCAGTTTTCTCATGTAAAATGGGAACAACAATACCTGGTCTACCGTCTTCATAGGGATGCTGTGATCGAAGATACTGGACTGGAAAATAGCTGAAAAATTAAGTTACTTTACAAATATTGGGTGGTAGTGTGTCCATCATTGTCACTGTAGCTCTGATTCTTCAGTACTCTCTAAGTGTTTTCTGGCTTCCAGCCTAATTATTCTTCCATCTTTGGGCCTTGCTGTTCAGTGTTTTGTATTCAGGCCCACAGTAGCTACCTAAGAAAGTTTTCTTTCCAAGTCTCATCAAGTTCACGGTGTGTGTGTTTGGGGGATATAGGGGTCGGGGTGGCGCTTAATCAGCTGAGTGTGAGAACAGCCGTGAAGGCATTTCCAGCTAGCTCAGCGTTTGCCTAGTGACTGGGTCCTGAGAGCAACCTCGGGTCAGGAGCCGGGTTCCAGCCGTGGCCCCCTTGCTTGGCTGCACTGGACCTCACACAGGGCCTTTTCTGAGAACCCTGACGGTCCACATCCCAAAGGAAACGCCCAGCCAAGAAGAGGGTGCGAGCAGGCCTTGGCATGTTGAAAACACCGCGCCACTGTGAACTGAAATCATTTCCCAGGTCTTTGAGGTCCCCCCTGCCTTCCGAAGTCAGCGTCTCGTTGGCCTCATGTTCTCTCTGAAAGCCACAGAGCCGGGGTGGACTTGGAGCCCCGAGCCAGGTGGAGGGAGTGTCAGCTGCGTGTGGCCCGTGAGGAGCGGGCCGAGCACCTGCTTGGTTCCCTCCCCCCCTGAGGCCCCTCTGGTGGTGGCACGTGTGTGGCCGGGGCATGCGCAGCACCCTCATTATTTCTCTCTCTCTTTTCTCTCCCTTCCCTCTCGCATTTTCTCTTGTTTTCTCTGCATGGTTTCTGTATTATTAGTCCCGAGGTAAGAACTGGTCGAATGCCTTGTCTCCAGCCCCTCTTCCTCCTCTGCCTGTGCTGTCTGCCCCGCCTGCCCGGACCCTTTGCACTTTTTTGTCTGGAGAGCATCAGAGGATCGGGGTCGGGGACCTCCTTTGCCGGCTGTACGTGGCTGGTCCGCCTTCAGGCTCTCCTCGCCCTTCCCTGCCCAGGTGCCCGTGCCCAGGTGTCACCAGCCGGAGCGCCTGCAGAGGCGGCCTGTGTGGGTGGGCGCCTCCTCCCTGCCCCGCCCAGCCTCACCCCCTGTCTCCTGTGCAGTGTGGAGGTCATTCGCCTGGGCCACAGCTACTTCATCAACTGGGACAAGAAGATGTTCTGCACGAGGAAGCGGACGCCCGCGGAGGCCCGCACCACCACCCTGAGCGAGGAGCTGGGCCAGGTGGAGTACATCTTCTCCGACAAGACGGGCACCCTCACCCAGAACATCATGGTCTTCAGCAAGTGCTCCGTCAACGGCCGCAGCTACGGTAGGCGGCGCCGCCGGGACGGGGCTCGCCCTCGCCCGGAAGGAGAGTGGTCCCGGGGCTCCCACAGCTGACTTGACATTTGGGTCTTTAGTTCTTTCCTACCGGGGCCCGGGGGGCCTTGAAAGGGTCCACTCTGGGTCCCATGTCAGGAGGCAGACACTGACCGGGCTTCCCTCCTGTCTGCTGACCTCTCACCCGGTCTCGGTCTCGGTCTCGGCTCCAGGCAGTGGGGGAGCTCCTGTTCGCAGTGAAGCCTGACCCTGGCCCTGGGCGTCCTGGCCAGGTTGGATCTTGGCTGCCCTGTGGAGTGCTAGACTCACCCTGTGTTGCTGTTCAGGGGCCTTGTGAGTCTCTGGAATGTGACCATGGTCTTTCTAGTGTGGCCCTGTGGCCGGGGCCTTGTGGCTGAGCTGCTGGGATGGCTTGGGGCCGGGTGTGTGGTGTCTGACTTTTATGCAGAGGGAGTTCTTACAACTGCTTTCTGTACTAACTCAGGCCTGAGGGCCAGTGTGTGAGGCCTTGTCTGCTGTGTAGGCCCAAAGGGTGAGAGGCACCCCGGGAGGCTTGGGGGCCCTTGGGAGGCAAGCAGTGGGGGCGGGGCCGGGGCCCCAGGGGCGGGATGGGGAGCAGTGGGTGCCATGACTTTTAGTCCTGGGGTTCCAAGGATCCAGGGTGCCTGTTGCCGCCTGTCCTTTGAGTCAGCCGTGTGAATCTGTGACATTTGCTCAACAATTCGGGTTGTGGGTTTTGGGTGCCTGGGGGGGGGGGGGGGGGGGGGGGGGATGATGCAGCCAATCTCCGGAAAACTGGACTAGACGCTATCAGAGAATATAAGGGAGTTTTGGTTCATTAACACATTTTATTTTGTTTTTATTTAAAAATATATTTTTAATGATTTCAGAGAGGGAGAGAGAGAAATGAGAGAGAATCATGGATCAGCTGCCTCCTGCACGCCCCACACTGGGGATCGAGCCCATAACCGGGCCTGTGCGGTGTTGGAGGTTTCTCCCCTTGCTCGGAGGGAACGCTGCCTCTGATGTGGCTTCTCGTCCTGGCTGTGTGCAGGTGATGTGTTCGATGTCCTGGGACACAAAGCTGAAGTGGGAGAGGTAGGTGCAGCCCCACAGTGATTCTGTGTATTCTGTTTGCCAGTTAAACGGGGGCCTCACCAGTAACAGTTGGTGTAGTTGGAGCGAGGTGTTATCTGGTCAGGAGATGGAAGCTGCGTGGAGAAATGGGTATTTCAAGGAAGAATTGGTAGCTGGGGATTTTGAGGTCCACGGCGGGCAGGATCTTGGGCTCTCCTCCTGAGAGTTGGAAGGGCGGGAACAACAGGGTGGGGACAGCACCTTTCCTGGGGTGCTGCCTGGCGACCCACCCTTTCCTGATCGCCCCCTTACCTGCCACAGAGGCCTGAACCCGTCGACTTCTCCTTCAATCCTCTGGCCGACCAGAAGTTCTTATTTTGGGACCCCACCCTCTTGGAGGCTGTTAAGATGGGGGACCCCCACGTGCACGAGTTCTTCCGCCTCCTCTCCCTGTGTCATACTGTCATGTCAGAGGAAAAGAACGAAGGTGCGTGCAGAGCTGGCTTGCGCTCTCGCCTACCGACTCGGGCCTTCAAGCTTGGGGACTGCTCTGCATGGCGGCCGCCCCGGGCTCCCTGGGTGGGACACGGGGCTGAGAGGGTGGCCACTCACACCACGTGTGTTCTTCCTCCCACCCAGGGGAGCTGTACTACAAAGCCCAGTCCCCGGACGAGGGGGCCCTGGTCACTGCAGCCAGGAACTTTGGTTTCGTGTTCCGCTCTCGTACCCCCAAGACCATCACTGTCCAGGAGCTGGGCACAGCCGTCACCTACCAGCTGTTGGCCATCCTGGACTTCAACAATATCCGGAAGCGGATGTCGGTCATAGGTGAGGCCAGGCCCGGGCGCTGGAGGACGCGGGGCAGCTGGCACGTGTGGAGTGGGGTGAGGTGTGCTGGGGGACCCTTGTTGATATGTTGGCGTTGGGGTCTGCACCTGCCTGAGCTTTTCTGGGCCTTTCTCCCCTCCTCACTCAGTGCGAAACCCAGAGGGGCAGATCCGGCTGTACTGCAAAGGGGCCGACACTATCCTGCTGGACAGACTCCACCCCTCCACCCAGGAGCTGCTCAACAGCACCACCGACCACCTGAATGTAGGTGTGAGGCGAGGAGGGACCCCGTGGTTCTACTCTCCGTGTGGAGGGAGGGGCGAGGGGTGACGTTCTTGACTCTGCCTCCAGGAATATGCAGGGGAAGGGCTGAGGACCCTGGTGCTGGCCTACAAGGACCTGGACGAAGAGCACTATGAGGAGTGGGCTGACAGACGGCTCCAAGCCAGCCTGGCCCAGGACAGCCGGGAGGACAGGCTGGCCAGCGTGTACGAGGAGATTGAGAGTGACATGATGGTACGGGCTACGGAATGGGCCGAGGGTGAGCCGGGAAGGCTCGGGTCTGGGACTCGTGCCAGGGACCCTTGTGGTATTTCAGCTGCTGGGCGCAACGGCCATTGAGGACAAGCTTCAGCAGGGGGTTCCAGAGACCATAGCCCTCCTGACACTGGCCAACATCAAGATCTGGGTGCTCACCGGAGACAAACAAGGTGAGAGCCCAGTGGGGCAGAGGCAGTGGCATCTGGACAGCAGCCCCCTCGGGTCCTGCATGAGCCCAGGGCATCAGGCAGGAGAGGCGCTGACTTTGTTGGGGGCCTGCTCGTAGCTCCTGCGTTCTCTCTTGGTAGAGACGGCTGTGAACATTGGCTATTCCTGCAAGATGCTGACGGACGACATGTCAGAGGTGTTCGTGGTCACTGGCCACACCGTCCTGGAGGTGCGGGAGGAGCTCAGGTAAACGGGCCGAGCCGGCGGGTGCTCGGTGTTGTGAACATGGGTCGGGCGGGGCTTCCTGGACCCTGATTGGGCCGGAATCCCTGCTCCCGTCCAGGGAGACCACGTCCCGTTATCCCTCCGCAGGAAGGCGCGGGAGAAGATGGTGGACCCGTCCCGCACCGTCGGCAACGGCTTCACCTACCACGGGAACCCATCCTCTCCCAAGCTCACCTCTGTCCTGGAGGCCGTGGCTGGGGAGTACGCCCTGGTCATCAATGGACACAGTCTGGTAAGTGTCGCCATCCTTAGTTTGGGCAGTGTTTTTCCAGAGAGCACTTCTCTCCGAATGGCGTTTAGGTCTTACCTTGTTCTGATTTCCCTCGACTTTGGGGGGCTGTGGTCTTTAAGGGGACGGGGCGAGGCTGACTCCCAGGTGTCTCCTGGGGAAGACAGGGCCTCAGGGCTCTCTGTGTCGCAGGCCCATGCATTGGAGGCCGACATGGAGCTGGAGTTTTTGGAGACGGCCTGTGCCTGCAAAGCTGTCATCTGCTGCCGGGTGACGCCCTTGCAGAAGGCGCAGGTGGTGGAACTGGTGAAGAAGTACAAGAAGGCTGTGACGCTTGCCATTGGGGACGGAGCCAATGATGTCAGCATGATCAAAAGTGCGTGTCCTGTGTAGATGTGTAGGTTGGGTGGGAGGGTGGAGGGAGGGGCCCCTGAGGTTGGGGAACCAGGGAAGACTAAGGGGGGACGGGGCTCTGAGTTGGTGGGATTCTCAGGTGTGTGGCCACCTTCACCCTCGTGTCCCCTCTTGTCTCTGCAGCGGCTCACATTGGTGTGGGCATCAGCGGGCAAGAAGGGATCCAGGCTGTCCTGGCCTCAGATTACGCCTTCTCCCAGTTCAAGTTTCTGCAGCGCCTCCTGCTGGTGCACGGGCGCTGGTCCTACCTGCGCATGTGCAAGTTCCTCTGCTATTTCTTCTACAAGAACTTTGCTTTCACCATGGTCCACTTCTGGTTTGGCTTCTTCTGCGGCTTCTCAGCCCAGGTAGTGAGCTCCTAGTCCACTGGCTTGTCTGTCTGTAAGTCCCTTAAGGCAGAGATTGTATCTGTTCTGTTCAAAGCTTAATCCCTTAGGGCCTGGCCTTTTCTGGTTCATGCATTTAGAAAATGCTTATTGAAGGAGTGGGCACGACTTCCAGAAAATCCCTTGGGGCTCCATATACACCACATCGCCGTTTTCCTCTGCCTGATTTGTAGTGAAGAAGGGTGACGTATTCTTTCCTCTCTCTCCCCGTTTTCTTCCCAGACCGTCTATGACCAGTATTTCATCACCCTTTACAACATCGTGTATACCTCCCTCCCCGTCCTGGCCATGGGGGTCTTCGATCAGGTACGGGGAGAGTGATGATCGCGCAGGATGGGGAGAAAGACAGTGCTGTGAGGAGTCACGCTGACAGTGCTGGGCGTGTGCCGTGTGCCCTCTGCCTGTGGCCCTGGCACGGCCTTGTCCCAGCTGGCGGGGTGTTCTTCCTCTCAGCCACGGCTGACCTGTGACTCCCCTGGGTGGCTGAGCAAAGACTGATCGGGGGCAGTTGGCTGGAAGTTAGATCTAGTGTCAAAGAACTTAGAAAGCAGGAGGCAGGGACAGGGTCTGCCCAGTCAGAACGGCCGCTTCTGAGGCCTCGTGTGTGACCCGGTCTCCCCACACAGGACGTCCCCGAGCAGCGGAGCATGGAGTACCCTAAGCTGTACGAGCCGGGCCAGTTGAACCTCCTCTTCAACAAGCGGGAATTCTTCATCTGCATCGCCCAGGGCATCTACACCTCCGTCCTCATGTTCTTCGTCCCCTACGGAGTGTTTGCTGAGGCCACCCGGGACGACGGCACCCAGCTGGCCGACTACCAGTCCTTTGCAGTCACTGTGGCCACGTCGCTGGTCATTGTAGTCAGCGTGCAGGTCAGAGGCAGTTGGGGACCTGCCCTCACCTCTGGAAGGCGTGAGCCTCCTGTCCTGGGGCCGCCCTGGGCACGGCAGTTCTGTTTCTGGGAAGGGGACGGGTTTTGGGGTGCTCCTCCTTCTGCCTGTGACAGCTCCTGCTTGTTGCAGATTGGGCTGGACACGGGCTACTGGACGGCCATCAACCACTTCTTCATCTGGGGCAGCGTGGCTGTCTACTTTGCCATTCTCTTTGCCATGCACAGCAATGGGCTCTTCGACATGTTTCCCAACCAGTTCCGGTTTGTGGGTGAGTCTCTGGCTTCCCCTGGAATCACTGGGGTGTCACGACTCTCCTGGGACTCACAGGGCAGGAGCCGGTCTGCACTCCGCGAGCAGCGACTGGGTGCTCCTCAGGTTCTACAAGGTGCTGGGGGAAGGCGGGTGTGTCTGACCCCAGTGCTGCCCTCAGAGGCTCCATGTCCATGAACGTGAAGAACAGCCCTGCTAGGCTGTACGCGGTCAGGCCCGAAGGAGGACAAGGGCTGGCAGGCGTCATGGTCAGCAAAGTGACTGCATGTGGGGTGGTCAGGGAGAGGCCCACACAGGAGGCTGCTGTGAGTGGTGCCAGGATTGGGGAGTCGGGTTCCAAGTCAGGGAGCTGAAAGTGTGAAAGGGCCACTTGTTTCTCGGGCAGGGAGAGCGCTCCTGCCAGGGCGGCGGGGAACCCCCACTGAGAGCAGTGGAAGAGGCCGTGCCAGGTCGGACATTCAAGGCGTCAGAATGCCAGGCTGTCAGGTTTGCATCTGACGTGCCAGGAGCCTTTTTTTCTTAAATTATTATAATAATTGTTATTATTTTTATTTCTAATCCTCACCCGAAGATATGTTTCCATTGATTTTTAGAGAGAGTGGAAGAGAGAGGGAAAGACAGAGAAATATCGATGTGAGAGAAACACATCGATTGATTGCCTCCTGCCCAGGGCCTGGCCGGGGAGGAGCCTGCAAGCGAGGTACGTGCCCTTGATGGGGATCGAAGCCGGAACCCTTCGGTCCACAGGCCAGCGCTGTACCCACTGAGACAGACTGGCCGGGGCTTTTTGATTTTTGAGGAGGAGAGAGTGGGGAATGACAGCAAAGGGTTCTTCAGGAAGATGAATCTGGCAGTGGTGGTCAGTGAGGAAGCTCCTGCAGTGACTGTGTAAGGCTGTTCAGAACTGGTGACAAGGTGGCTGTGGTGGGTGGCAAGCGGGCTGGTTGGGAGGCATGAGGTGAAAGATGCATTTGCACTTTTGGCATTTTCTTGAGATCTTTTCATTTACTCACCCAGTGGGCCTTCGGTCAGCCCCTGCTGTAGGTCACCCCCTATTCTGGATGCTGGGGATGCAGCAGTTAACAAAACAGGCAGAATCCTGGGTGTCATATTTCAGTGAGAGAGACACGCAGTTTATAAGTTAGTAGATACGTAAACTGACTTCTGCTTTAAAGGATCACTCTTACTGTGATAAAGTGGAGAGGGAAAGGTGGCTCTAGCAGTCATCAGGTGAGAGCAGTGGTGGCTTGCAGTACAGCGAACAGTGGCGGGAGCCGTAGGCATTTTGGGAGTAGAGCCAACAGATCGGAGGAGCAGTGTGCGAGAGAAGTCAGAGTTGGCCTCTGGGCTGTTGGTGGTGGCAGTGAATGGGAGGTGGCCTTTCTGGAGCGGGGCACATGGAGCAGCTTGGGGTGGAGGGAACGGTAGTTCACTTTTGGCCATTAGAAATGGAGATGCCCGTTAGAGGTTCAACAGAGATGTCAACTAAGGCAGTTAGAGAAACAGGCCTGAAGTTTTGGGGAGAGTTTGGAGCGAGAGTCAAATTTGGAGATACCTCTATGGGGAGCAGGGAGGAGCCGGAAGCCAGGATGACTTAGGCTGTGAGCCTGGGGGAGTGGGGGAGCTGTCCACCCTGTGACTCCCAGGGCCCCTGACTCCTCTGCGTTCTCAGGTAACGCGCAGAACACCCTGGCCCAGCCCACGGTGTGGCTGACCATCGCGCTCACCACGGTCGTCTGCATCCTGCCTGTGGTCGCTTTCCGATTCCTCAAGCTGAACCTGAAGCCCGATCTCTCCGACACGGTGAGCAGCGGGTGCCCGGAAGCCCTTCTGGCATAAACACGCACGCAGCTGCGGCTTTGGGCTTCGTGCCTCACGTGTTGGTGGTGGTCCCCGTACTGTCCTGTCCTGGGGGCTCAGGCCCCTTCTTGGTGGTGGTGTCTGACGCAGCCACACTGATGACCACTCCTTCCTCGTGCTCCCCAACCCCCCCAGGTCCGCTACACCCAGCTGGTGAGGAAGAAGCAGAAGGCCCAGCACCGCTGCATGCGGCGGGTGGGCCGCACAGGGTCCCGGCGCTCTGGCTACGCCTTCTCCCACCAGGAGGGCTTCGGGGAGCTCATCATGTCGGGCAAGAACATGCGGCTCAGCTCCCTGGCGCTCTCCAGCTTTACCACCCGCTCCAGCTCCAGCTGGATCGAAAGCCTGCGCAGGAAGAAGAGTGACAGCGCCAGCAGTCCCAGTGGAGGGGCGGACAAGCCCCTCAAGGGATGAGGGCCGGGACCGCTCTGCCCCGTGCCAGGGATCAGAGCTCACAGGGCGGGCCGGCCACCGAGAGGACCGGGTCGTAGCTGCAGGTCTCCCTGCCTTGCCCCTCCCAGGCATCTCCCCTGGTGGACTCTGTCCTGCTGGCCCCACCAGCAGCGTCTGGGACATTCCAGTCAGGGGCCCTGCCACCAGCTGGGAGGGTGGAGGGGGCAGGCCTCGAGCAGAGTACGGGCTTGGCCATCTGGAACCAGCCCCAGTGGGGGACCAGATGTGGAACCAAAAACAGAAGAAGAAACTGTGAGAGATTGGGTCTGCCCCTGCCTTGCCTGGGAGCCCACAGGGAGACTCGAGTCTCTGTATTTTTCTACTCCCCTTCCCCAGGGGCCCTCGGGCCCTGTTCCTGAATTACATGAGAATGTATCGTGCCGGGAAGCCAGAGACCTGTTGGGGCCTCTGGGCCCCTCACGTCGGGTATGCCTCTCCTTGGTTTGTGTTTGTGTCTAGTTTGGTTTTGTCTTTTTTATTTGGCAAGTGGAGGAGGCCTCTAAGTGACTTCTATGTGTGGTCGGTGTCTTAACTCTCCTGGGAAAGAGGAGGCTGGCGCACACGGGTGCCCACCTGGCAGTTGTGGGGTGGTTTGGGAGGAGCGGCAGTTCTGGGTGGGCCCTCCAGGGGCTGAGGGGCAGTGAGGCTGACCAGGAGGGAGGTGCCTGTTAGCCAGAGGGTGCGCGGAGAATAGAGGAGGGTTTGGTCCTGTCTCCTTCTCACCTTGGGAGTGAAGAGCTGCCCCCTCCCCCAGCACACTCACATATCAACTCCCGGTTTCCGTAAGTCCTGCTGGCACTGGGCTGGAGCCTGGGATAGTGGCCCTGTCATTCTCTGGCCAAAAGCTGGGTATGAAGTTTAGTCCTAAAAAAGGTTTTGTTTCATTTTAAATGTAGACTCAAGTCCATTAGCAGAGTCCCTCTGACTCCCTTCTCCCTCCTCATCTGGCATTTTACTGCACCTGTACCCCAGGACCTGAGGGGGGCCAAAAGGGGAAGCTGGCCTCTGCTTCTCCCTTCTGGTAAACGGGGGCCCCACCCGCTGGGCCGGCACCTGGGAGGAGGTGGTGGAGGCCGTGCGCCGGGTGTGGAGGCGCTGCTCGGTGCCTGGCGTGGTCTGGACGGGCTGGTTGGAGCCTTGGCACCTCTCCTTCCTCCATTCATCTTGGGAAGAATCCTTTCCTCGTCTTTGGTGGAGGGGGTCCTCAGGAATGGTGCGGGCTGGGTGTGGGGTGCAGAGATCTTGGACATTCCATTACGTGGAGCCCCATGGAGCTGCAGGTGGGCTGCGGTGAGGCAGGGTGGGTGGGCCTCCGATGGGGGGAGGGGAAAGCGCGACAGGGAAACCCCTTAGGGCCACACCGTTTACAAACCCAACATCATGTCTGTCTGTGTGTCTCAAGGTGAGAGTCTGATTTTTATACCAAAGAGGAAATGATTTTTTTTCATATTTGGTTTGTCTATTATATAAATATAAATTTATCTATATATATATACAGTTATATATTATTTTTTTGGTTCTCTCTCATTTTTTAGGGAGGGAGGAAAGTACCAAGTTGCATTGAACTGTAATTAAGGAACATTCTGTATAATTTATGACATATTTCTATACTTGGAAAAATTATATCATTTTATGGATATAAGAGAAAAATGCCTTTTTATAAAATTTCAGTTTCTGAGAAATGTGTAATTTGTTTCTTTTCTGATGTGTAATCAAGACATGGTCAACGTGAAGAGAGAAACCTTTTCTTGAACCAGGGTGCCCAGGTCAGACAGGCAGGAACGGGATGGGTGGATCTGGGCTGAGGGGAGAGGGCAGTCTGGCTGGTAGGGTGAACCCCTCTGTTAGCCCACCTGCCAGACTCCGGTTCAGCTGGACGATGGGGCAGTGGGCGGGGCCAAGAGGCACATCACAGGGACTGTGTATTCGTGCCTCGGACCTTGAACTGGTCCCTTTTTTAAACACAAGCCAACCTTTCCTTTGTAATACGTGCCAAGTGGGTGGGTATGTGCAGGGGAAGTACCAGGTAAATATTTCACGTTTTTGTTTGTGTTTTTTTTGCTTTTACCCCATACCTTATCCATTAGTATCAGCCTCACAGACTCACATCTTCCTGGCTTTTCATAGAAGTGACTATCAAGGGACCTAAATAGTATAAGCAAGACTGCAGAAAATTTTTTAAAAATATATTTTTATTGATTTCAGAGAGGAAGGGAGATGGAGAGAGGGATAGAAACATCATCGATCTGCTGCCTCCTGCACACTCCCTGCTGGGAAACGAGCCCACAACCCGGGCATGTGCCCTGACTCAGAATCGAGCCATGACCTCCTGGTTCATAGGTGGAGGCTCAACCACTGAGCTACGCCGGCCAGGTGGGGGCAGCATTACTTCTTTGCTCATTGCCACTTCTAGACATTTTCCTTCCATCTCTGTACAAAGATGCTTCCTCTGAGCCTCCTGCCACTCAGATTCCCGTGTTCTTCCCTTGATCTGCTAATTCTTTCCCTAAGGACTTGGGCTCCGGTCCGACCACCTCCAGTCCCCACCCACCATCACCCCAGTGCCTTCTCTGACTGTGGGTGAGAAGTCTGCCTGACGCCCTGGCTTGGTTCTTCCTCATTTTGACTGTAACCCTCCCCACCTTCACCTCCCCACCCCTATTGTAACACACGGACATCCACAGCCCCCGGGAGCAGCTCCACGTCTGAAATGTCACAATCCAGTATTTGACCCTCCATATCCTCCTTGCACCTTCCACCTGTGCTCCCAGCACGACCTCCTGCCTGGCCTTCTGGTCGCCAGCTCCTTGGTGTGGGCTCTTACTCGCTCCCCAGCCCAGCTCAGAGCCTGTGGTCTGACATGAACCACTCTGCCCAGGAACAGCCCAGTGACTTCCATTCTCCGACCCCCTGCTGACTCCTAACTGTCCCCTCTCCTCTGCTCCCTCCCACCACCTCCTCCCCTTCTCTCAGCAGATGGTTCTGCCTCCACTTCCCAGAGGAAAACGGCCACTTCAGCGTCCTGTCACCTACAAGTGTCACTGGGCAGAAGCAAAGCCTGGGCCCCACTGTGCTCTGGCTCCTCTACTCCCCCACCTCCTCCACCCACTGTCCTCTTTATTCCCTCCACCTCCCTCTCTGCTGATTCTTCCCGTCACGAAATGAGCCCTTTCCTCACCCCTGTACACCGTTCTGTGATCTGTGTCCACGTCCTCACCCTCTTCCTCATTCCACTCCCTGCGGTCAGCTTCTGTACCCACCCCCAAAACGCTTTCCATGAAGTCACCCTTATCCTCACGGCGCCGTGCCCCGTGGAGGCGTGCAGGTCTGATCTTGCAATCCCTTAGCCATTTGACTTTGTTGACCACTAAACTCTGTCCTCCGGCTGGCTTTTTCTTTTAATTAAAACAAAATTTCAATGACAGTTGGCATTTAATATTGTATCAGTTTCAAGTGAACAGCATGTTAGACATTTATGTAACTTACAAAGTGATCACCCCCTCCATACATCTCGCACCACCTGGCACGATACCAGTTACATGATTGACTACATTCCTTACGCTGCGCTTTACATCCTATGATGGTTTTGTAACTACCAATGTGTACTTCTCAATCCCTTCACATTTTTCACCCAGCCCCTCAACCCCCCCCTCCCATCTGGCAACCATCAATTTGTTCTTTGTGTCTATGAGCTCCTCTCTCTTTTGTTGTTCGTTTATTTTGTTTGTTTTTTAAATATTTTTTTTATTGATTTCAGAGAGGAAGGGAGAGGGAGAGAGAGATAGAAACATCAAAGATGAGAGAGGGCCCTGACCGGCTTGGCTCAGTGGATAGAGCGTCGGCCTGTGGACTGAGGGGTCCCAGGTTCGATTCCGGTCAAGGGCATGTACCTTGGTTGCGGGCACATCCCCAGTAGGAGGTGTACAGGAGGCAGCTGATCAATGTGCTGTCTTTGCCATTTGTATATCTTTTCGTGAAATATTTAATTTTTGTCCTTTTTCTGGTCTTTTTATTTTTAGTTGTAAGAGTTCTTTATGTATTCTGGATACTGGACCTTTATCAGATATATGATTTACAAATATTTTCTCCCATTGTGTGAATTGTCATTTCACTCTTTTTTTTTTTAATATATCTTTATTGATTTCAGAGAGGAAGGGAGAGGGAGAGAGAGATAGAAACATCAATGATGAGAGAGAATCATTGATTGGCTGCCTCCTGCACACCCCCCACTGGGGATCGAGCCCACAACCTGGGCATGTGCCCTTGGCCAGAATCAGACCTGGGACCTTTCAGTCTGCAGGCTGACGCTCTATCCACTGAGCCAAACTGGCTAGGGCTCATGTCACTCTTGATGGTGTCCTTATGAAGTCCAACTTGTTTATTTTTTCTTTTGTTGCTTGGGCTAGGTGCCATAATTAAGAAACTATTGCCCAATCCAAGGCCATGTAGGTTTACCCCTGTGTTTTCTTCTAGTAATTTTTATAGTTTTAGCTCTGAAATTTAGGTCTTTGCTCTATTTTTCAGTTAATTTTTGTGTGCAACGGGAGATAAGGATCTAACTTCATTCTTGTTACATGTGGATATCCAGTTGTATTCCTAACAATTTTTGAGAGTATAAAGGGGTCTTTCTTTCTTGTTTTTAATCCTCAACCGAGGATATTTTTTCCATTGATTTTTATCTTTTTTTTTTTTTTAATATATTTTATTGATTTTTTACAGAGAGGAAGGGAGAGAGATAGAGAGTTAGAAACATCGATGAGAGAGAAACATCGATCAGCTGCCTCCTGCACATCTCCTACTGGGGATGTGCCTGCAACCAAGGTACATGCCCTTGACCGGAATC